CTTGAGTCATGAAATAATGTACGAAGCGCAGATAGCGTGATATTTTTAATTTGTTCCGATCTTCGTCTTGTAAGGGTTCAAAGAAAGTAGCTGCTTGCAGCAGAAGCAAATAGATGTGTAAAAATAACAATGCGTATGATCTTCGAGCGGAACACAGTTATTAAGTGATATCACTGTAAACCTATGGATTCACAAATTGAATTTTTATTTTTGGTTTAGACTCTTTTTTTTTTTTCAATTTAAGTGCTCAGCGGAACTAGGCTAGAACCATATAACTATATAACACCTGCTTAATATTTGAGACATAAAACTTCGGGGACAAGTAACGTTTTTAACACGCATAGGAGATGCGTTGCTACCGTTGAGGACTAAGAAGGAATGCTTTTAATTACACTAGCTCTCTATATCGTTCATGGCAGAACACAATGGGCGGCAGAAATAGATAGAGGGTGGTACCTATCCATACGAACTGCTAGGCAGAAAATAAATTGTACCGCCTAGTAATGATTGCCTGACCGATGATAAGGATCAGCATCGTTGATGCAGCAGCAACGGATTTGCCCTCACAAACCTGTATATCTAGTATGATCTCGATCGTGTTCCAATGTATGTACTGTGAGCACTGTACAGTGGTTTAAAAGTTAAAAAAAAGTGTGATACTTTATCAACGGTCCAAAACATACTTGAAAAATAGTTTGTCTATGATTTTTCACAAAATCTCTTTTATTATATCGACGTTAACGAATTATTTATCAAGGATATTGCAGAACCGTGTGGTGATCGCGTAAGAATCAGAAACAAACATTTTTAGTCAATACATATTATAAATAACACTTATTTGTTTAATTATATTACTCTTCTATTCAATTTAGCACTGGTTTGGAAAAACCTTTGTCCTAGGAAGAACCAGCAAGAAACCCAGCGATAACAGTTTACAAACATATACAGCCTGATGTTACACAATTAACAATAAATCAAAATTATAAATAGCTTGGTAGCTAAGTAGTAAGCTTGGTAGTAAGAAAATCATTTGTACAAAGTAAATAAATTATTGTGTTTATTGCTACAATTTTTTTTAAATAAGCTTAAAGTAGACGTTATAATTTTTTTGATAAAAATTACTCATTTTACAATTAAATGATTCACGAAAATTTTGTCACAAATTTTAATACTTCTACGTTAGAAAACTGTTCGCGACGGCCTAACAACCTTAAGAAACAAAATGATAAAGAATATTGTTTTATGTATTAATAGTGAAATACCAAGAAAACTGAGTGAAAACGTGTATTAATATAGTTATTTAGCATATTTATAACTCTCAATATGTTTGTATAGAATGTCGTTTTGATAACAAGTAATATAAACCACTTTTATTATATACCAAAAAATCGACCAATCACAGCGCGTCTTACCGTGGAACTCTCTAGAAGTTTTTTAATTAACTGCGTAATAGATCATACTAAAATTAATGAAAATAATTTTATGTCCTAAAAGAGTTATAAATATGACATTTAATTAGCATATGGCTTATAGATTAAGAAAGTATAGGAATATTTTTGTATAATTAAACGCATTTCGTAGTTATAGAAAAATTAAAGAATTAAAATGCCCAAATATTATGAAAATTTGGGACATTTCGTTTAATAACTTTTTACAATGTTAATGTTTTTAATAACCTTTATGATATACTAATAAAGTACCAGACTACCGATTTAATGATATATAGCATGTTAGTGTAGCAATTAGTTTTGTATAGAGAATATTGCAATTTATGCCATTTGTATAGTGATAAGTTTATGCAATAAAGAGGCAAAACGGAAAATGGCAAGCGGCTCACTGCAAAGTATTGCTAAAGTCTACCTTAGGGGCTCGGGACCCAGTACCAGTAGTAGTGTGAAGAACTACCAGTGACTAGTGAAGTGAAGTGAGTGGTATCCGGTGGTAGCTGAAGTGACTAGTAGCAGTATATAGTGAATAGTGAAAGTGTTAGCTAGCCGAAAAAGGTCGTAACTGACATTCGCAGTTACACATAGTGAAAGTGTTAGCTAGCCGAAAAAGGTCGTAACTGACATTCGCAGTTACACAGTGAAAGTGTTAGCTAGCCTAAAAAGGTCGTAACTGATATTCGCAGTTACATATAGTGAAAGTGTTAGCTAGCCGAAAAAGGTCGTAACTGATATTCGCAGTTACATATAGTGAAAGTGGTAACTGATATCCGCAGTTACACAAGTGATAAAATCAGCTAGTTTAGTTGATAATAGCTGCTAGTCAGTAGTGTTAGAAAACCAGCTACTACCAATAGATATTTGATACCACCGTACAATTTAAAGAAATCTTTTGAAATATACATTGAACAACCGTAGTTTAACAACCGTGATAAATAGTTATAAAATTTCGCGACTAATCAATCAGTCGAACCGCTGGCCACTACCTTGCTATTTGTATTTGTTAATCGTGCATTTTGATTTTAACTACAGTCCACAATATTTAAGCGGCACCAACAAAGACGGCGGTGAGAGTACCCACCGGAACCTATAGGTGTAGGACGTGAGCGACTCGCGAAGTATCTTCGACAACATTTACTCCGGAGAGTTTCGCCCGTCCGGCACAAAAACAGTTTATTTTTGCCTTTTCGCAGATATTACATGCAAAATCCCCACAGTCAGTAAATTTCGTTAATTGTATTCATCTAATCTCATTACAGTTACGAATTAAATCACAAAATTAGACTGATAAAACAAATATTTTTACTTTTTTTTAATAGGATAAGGGTGACAAATGAGCACACGTTCCACCTGACGGTAAGTGGTTGCTGCGGCCCATAGACATCTACATCAATCCTCAATCATGAATCAAAATGCAGATGCGTTGTCACCCGTAAGGACTAACATGAAATGCCTCTGTTCCAATAAAAAGGGTCTCCGGTTCTCTACACTCACAACACGAAACACAGCAGCATCAAGCTGCTATTTTACGCGGGTATTCTGAGAGAGCGTGGTCTTCCCGGGTCGAGCCGACCCATTCTTGCTACAACTATGCTATTAATATAACTGCAGCAAGGCTCTACCACATAGAGAAAACTGTTTTATTAAAAATGTTTCGCTTTCTGTATGAGAAGAAACTAAATTAAGCTGCAAATAGTCCGTTGCTCTATATGGGAGAAGGTAATGGAAGATCCAATGTTAGAGACTAACTACAATCACCTAGCTTGATCAGTGAAAGATGACGCTGCACACTGCTGCCAGCCGAATGACCTTGACGATACGAAAACTGCAGCGTCTTAAAGATTATAGGACAGAGCAGGCGCGCTCGCGCGGCTGTTATTAAGTCCTTAGAAAACTATATTTCTACAAGTAAAACGCGAAATAAAAACATTATTCTCAATTAAAAATGTTAGTATACTTCACAATCTTTTTTATGAAAAAAGTATTTATACAGCCTGTGCCGTTTTGCCGAAGTTTGCAAATTATGATAAAAATCTTTTATCTTTTTGCCGATTTTTTTCTACGAAGGTATGACAAAAATACAAGGTTATTCAATTAGAAACAATTATCGAATCTTTATCTGTCACTTTACGGATTAAATTAACAATTATTGTGATATTTTTTCACTAAAATGTTCAATAATTTAGGCATTTCATTTTTAGAGCCTTAAGTCATGGATTCAACGAAATTGCTATGTAAATATTATTATGTTGGTGGTTACACTCTAGGTCGGTATTCTCCACGGAGCAAATGCTCCGTGGTATCCTATTTGCTAGAAACAAATTAGTTATTGTCTCGCTAACTCCGGGCCTTTTTAAAATTCTAGACCAACAAAGAAAGACATACTGTTATTTTTACACATCTATTTACTTCTGATTAAAATATTATTAAATTTTACACTTTTACTTATTTTATTTATTTGTTTACTACACAATTATAACATCATTACAGTAAAGATACATACAACATGATAAACTACTATTTAGAATGTATGTGTAATGCTGCCACAATTATTTATTTATTACACTTTTGTGACAAGTATAGGAAACGACAGAAACATTTTATAGTTACCGGTAGATGGCGGTATATATTTTATAGTTACCGGTAGATGGCGGTAATCAGCTGAGCGCTAATCATAAATTTAAAATATAGTAATGACATTTTTGAATCGTGATGAATGCCAATAAATTGGTCTAATGGTCTAATGCGCTTGCACGAACGCCGTATGTCGTGAGATCGAATCTAATCCGATTGTGAAAATTACGTTTTTTCTTAGATTAAATAAATTTTGGTTTTACAACAAAAGTTAAAACATTTACAATTTATAATATAAATCTGAATCTGACTATACCTACTACTAGAACAAAAAAAGAATATTTGTGTGGATTATAACAGAACAACTTAAGACACGACAAAACGACTTTATAAACTGTCTGAACTTTTAAAATCGCAATACAAATGTCATAGATAATTATTATACGACGCATGACAAAAAAAAAACTATATGATAAGGCCCTCAACACACTATGATTTATTTTGTGATTATTTAAGAGATATAATATTAAGGATTAGATATAACTATTTCGAAAAATGAAAACCGGAAATTCATTACAACAAGAAAATGTGACAATAAGAAGACCTGCTAAGTGTAACTCGGAGAATGACTTAACGAAACTAGAGATGGATATGACATCATCGTCGACAATGTTATTTGAGAATACTATGGACAGTTTACCGAATTTATCAACAATTGAGAATCCTATAGTAGTTGAGTTAAAAATAAATAATAATAATTTAGCCTTAAAACTACAGTCAGCGCATAAAGAAATTGAAAATCTAATAACAGAAAATTTTAAACTTAAACGTGAGTTGGAAAATTGTCAAATGGTAATTAAAACACTAAAACAATTAAATTCAACTCAAAATAACGAAGCACGATCTACAAACTCAACACCGAGAAGAAAGGGAACTAAACAAAATAAACTTAAACCACTACAAGATATCCTGTCACCATTGCTTAATAATATAAAATCTACAAATCAAGATTCTACGGCTGATAGTAGTATACTGACAGTTACTGGTGATATATTAACTAAAGACAGTAAAACGGATACTGCAACAGACACTTATACATACTCTGACAGTAACATGCACAAAAAAGAAAACAGTAATATGCGGATCACTAAAAGAAACAATAGTTTTAGCAACAAATCTGAAATAGCGTTAAATGTTCAGCAGCAAGATGTTGTAAATAAAGTTATTGACAAGGATAACATATCTACTAATATTACTAATAAACGGTCAATATTGGTGGATCGTATATCTGCAAAAAAGAAAATCATAATTATTGCTGATCAGTATGGGAAAAATGTCAGACACTCATTGGAAAAACTTCTGGGTCCGGAATATCAAGTTTACTGCTTTATTAAACCTGGTGCCGAGTCAAGCGAAGTGTTAAATGTTTGGAAACATGAAATATCTTCATTAACATTAAATGATTGTGTGGTTGTACTTACAGGATCTAATGATCGTAATACTTTTAAATTAAAATGTAACTTGATGAGTTGGGTCACCTCATGCCAAAATACAAATGTAATAATATCGGAGGTTCCACATAACAATTACCTAAACTTATTTAAGCTAAATTACGAACTAAAGTTCTTATGTAGCAATTTTAAGCGAGCGGTGTTTTTGGATATGGATTATTGCAAATCTGTCCCACGAAGAAAGCTGTTTGCTTTGAACTTATCGAGGTCATTACTGAAAGAAATTTTAAGTATTAGTTACAGACAAAATTATTTAAATTATATAAAGAACGCTGCTTGTGTAACAGGGAACTCAAAATTGTATTCAAAATGTGATAAATCATGTCAAACAGAGTTTTGTAATGTAGCGATGGAAGGATCAGCGAGTAATGAAACCGATGATTCTTCAGAGTTTTTTCGTGGTCCAAAATAATCTGTATCTCTTGCATCAAAACATAAACGGAATTATTAACAAATCCGACTTACTTGCTGTGTGTTTAGCGGAATTAAAAGATGAAAATAAAATAATTGGGATTATTTGTATAACCGAGCATAATATGGTTGAAGATGACATTAAACATCTATGTATACCAAATTTCAAATTAGCTTCAAGTTATTTGCGAAAAAATAGAAAAGGTGGAGCTTGTATTTTAGTAGACTATAATATTAAGTATAACACAATTTACGAAGTTCAAGCTCTATCCATTAGTAACGAAGTTGAATGTTGTGCAATTGAGCTTGTTGAATTTGGAATAATTATAATATGCATGTACCGAGTGCCTAAAAATTCTGCTAAGGATATTGATACATTTTTAAATACATTGCAAAATATATTACACAAGTACTGTTTTAAATCAAAAAAACTTGTCATTGTTGGTGATTTCAATGTTGACATGTTAAAACCAAATATCTTGACAAATAGCATAACACAAATTTTGAGTAGTTACAATTTAAAAATTGAATTTAATGAACCAACAAGGTTATGTAGTGGTACCTGCATAGATAATGCATTCCATAATTTCACAAAACTAAATAGCGAAATACGAGATTTTGCACTCTCAGATCACACAGCCCAACTGCTGAAAATTCCAGTAATGAAGCATCATGCAATGACATATTGGTATGTTTTTAAAAGCGATTTTTGCAAAAAAAATTTAAAAAAGTTTGTAGATTGCCTAAACTCTTTCACATTCAATGAATTATTTTCTTTAGATAATCCTAATGACGCCTTTGATTATTTCTTTGACATTTATAAATTATGTTATGATTTATGCTTTCCGAAAATAAAGATAAGAATGTCTTTAAAAACAAAACCGAAATGGATTACAAAAGGAATTAAGTTGTGTAGCAGAAACAAAAGGAATCAGTTATGGAAATTTCGCCTTAATCCTAATAAAGACTCAAAAGATAAATTTAAAAGGAACACTAAAAAATTAAAGAAATTGAACTCACAAAACGATCGCAGAATAACTATTACATAGCAAATGCAAAAAATAAATGTTTAGCTACGTGGAAGGTTATTAAGAATAACCAAACAAATGCCCCTATAAAACAAATCGACAAAATTATATATAATAATCGAATAATAACAAACCCGAAAGAAATAGCTCAAACTTTTAACGATCACTTTATACAAATGGAGCATAAGAAACAGGTTAATGAAGAGAACGCAGGTAACTATTGTATACAAGTTAATAAGTCTTCGTCAATGTTTATGGCCCCTGTCACTCCTGTTGAAATATATGAAACAATAAAGTCACTTAAAAATACCCAAAGCACAGGGTATGACGGAATAACTACTAAAGTAGTCAAAGAGACAGCATTTTTGATTGCGGGTATTTTATGTCATATAATAAACTTATGTATAGAGCAAGGCAAATTCCCTAAGTCTCTAAAGCTGTCAATAGTAAATCCATTATTTAAAAAAACCGACAGATGTGATGTTGGATGTTATCGCCCTGTTGCTTTGATTACTGTATTTGCGAAAGTTTTTGAAAAAGTTTTATATAAACGTTTAAATAAATATCTCGAAGATAATAAGATACTCGTAAATGAGCAAAAAGGATTTCGTAAAAATAAATCTGTAAACGCGGCAATTTATGACCTGCTCAACAAAATTATAACATGTATAGACAAAAAAATACCTGTGGCCGCGCTATACATGGACATGACTAAGGCTTTTGACTTTGTGGATCACAAAATATTAATAAGAAAATTACATCAATATGGATTGCGAGGGACAGTTTTAGATCTTTTTGAGTCATATCTTACACACAGGACGCAGATTACTGAAATAAGGAGAATATGTCCTATAAAGTTGACAGAAAAGGTTTATCGATCGACACCCCGAGCTGTGTACTACGGCGTTCCACAAGGAAGCGTTTTGGGTCCACTCCTGTTTCTTTTGTACATTAATGACCTTCCATCGGTGATACAACAATCTATGGTCCTTTTTGCGGATGATTGTACGGTCGTTTATGAAGGCAATAATACCCAAAGCTATGAAATTGAGATTAACAATTCCATTGGTCTTATAATTGATTGGCTCGTAAAAAATAACTTAAATATAAATTTAGAAAAAACTAAAATTATGAAATTTAATTGGCAAAAAAGATAGTTTATCAAGTTTTAATATTAATTATAAAGGTTCACCAATCTATGAAACGATAGAAACTAAATTTTTAGGAATTATCATTGATAACCAACTGAACTGGAAGGCACAGGTCGATAGTGTTTGCAGTAAATTATATAAATTTTCATATGCCTTGTATAAGTTAAATAAAAGAGCAAATACGCAAACACTTCGTATAGCATATTTTGGATACGTTGAGTCAACACTTAGGTATGGTGTAATGTTTTGGGGAAACTCAGTGGATCGGGAAAAGGTATTCAAAGCTCAAAAAAGGTGTATTCGAGCAATCAAAAATCTACACTGGACAGACAGCTGTAAACCACATTTTAAAGAGCTGCAAATTCTAACTTTTCCCTGTCTTTTTATCTATGAGACGGTTGTGTTTGTCCATAGAAACCTGCCACTGTTTGAAAATTTAAATAATAGAAGGTATCCTCTGAGATTAAAAGTTCGACAATCAAAGTCAGCAATAATGCGAAAAAGTATATTTTGCCTATCCATACCTATATATAATAAAATACCTAATGACATAAAGAAAATAAATAATATACAAAGCTTCAAAAAGTCATTAAAAACATTATTAATTACTAAATCTTACTATTCTATTAATGAATACCTTAATGACATAGAAATTAAATGATTGTTTTGGTATACATAATAGTATAATATTTATATTTGATTTGACATACCACATATTATACATTTGACATGATATTATGATAACCTGATGACATCGACATTTTTGATTTCTTTTTTTTTATGTATATATATATATATATATATATATATATATATATATATATATATGTATGTATATATATATATATATATATATATATATATATATATATATATATATATATATATATATATATATATATAGTTTACTTACGTGACATTAGCTTAAGATGCAGTATTTATTGTTGACTCGTGTATTTAATAATAGTAATAATAATTTGAAAAGATGACATTTTCATTTACTTCACCTTTTTTTTCTTTTTTTTTCAATATAGACGTAAAGGCGCCATTACGAAATGTGTTATGTGTCATGGGTATCATTGCAAGACGCTTTCACTTATAATATATAACATTTTTGTGAATATTTAATACCACCTACAAATATGATTATTGTATTTTTATAATTTGCAATCAATTTTAATAGTATTCCATTTTGCTGTTATTGGCTATAACGTGAAGAAATATATTTGTACACCACACTGTGGTAGAATACACGGTACCTACTGTAAACTTTTATAACACCTAACTTACTGTATTCACAAATAAATAAATGAATTTGAATTTGAATTTGAATATAACAATCTTTTTTACAATAAGGGTAAATATGTATAAAATTATTTATCACACGATTTGGTTTCATAAGAGACGTAAGAGACAAGTATAGGAAACGACAGAAACACTTTATATTTACTGGTAGATGGTGGAATAACAAGCTCTTTACAGTAAGCGTAAATAGGTATAAAATCATTGTAAAATTATTTATCACACGATTTGGTTTCATAAGAGACGTAAGAGACAAGTATAGGAAATGACAGAAACATTTTATATTTACCAGTAGATGGCGGTATAACAAGCTCTTTACAGTAAGCGTATAAATGTATAAAATCATTGTAAAATTATTTATCACACGATTTGGTTTCATAAGAGACGTAAGAGACAAGTATAGGAAACGAGAGAAACATTTTATAATTACCGGTAGATGGCGTTATAACGAGCTCTGTATAGTAAGTGTAAATTTCCACTTGATGGCGGTATAACAATCTCTTACAATAATCGTAAATTTCCCGTATATGGCGGTATAAAATATTTTTAAAATAAGCGTAAATTTCTAGTAGGTGGCGGTATAAAAACCTCTTTTTCATAAGCGTAAATTTCCAGTAGATGGCGGTATAACAACCTCTTTACAATAAGCGTAAAATTCCACTAGATGGCGGTATAACAACCTCTTTACAATAAGCGTAAATTTTCCAGTAGATAGCGGTATAACAACCTCTTTACAATAAGCATAAATTTCCAGTAGATGGCGGTATAACAACCTCTTTTTAATAAGCGTAAATTTCCAGTAGATGGCGGTATGACAACGTCTTTAAAATAAAAAATGGTGTTGCGGTTGATCATAGGCGGATGGGCGGCGGTAGTCTCTTAACATCAGGTGAGCCGCATGCTCGTTTGCCCCCTCTTATATAAAAAAAGCGTAAATATGTATAAAATCGTTATAAAATTATTTGTCACACGATTAAGTTTCATAAGTGACGGATAGGTCTCTTTGCTAGAAACAAATTACTATGTACATATTATTTCGTTGTTGGTTACACACTAGGTTGGTATTCTCTTTGCTAAAAACAAATTAGTTATTGCCTCGCTAACTACGGGTCTTTTTAAAATTCTAGACCAACAAAGAAAGGCATACTGTTATTTTTACACATCTATTTATTTTTGATTAAAATATTATTAGATTTTACACTTCTACTCATTTTATTTATTTATTTACTACACAATTAAAACATAATTTCAGTAAAGATACACACAACATGATAAACTACTATTTAGCATGTATGTGTAATGCTGCCACAATTATTTATTTATTACACTTTTGTGACAAGTATAGGAAACGACAGAAATATTTTATAGTTAGCTCAGACGTCCCTTCGCAATTATGAACGATTTGTCTGTATAAATTTCAGTCCGTCATTTTGTTAATTTAAAAATTATTTTTATGACAAAAATATGCCTACCTACAATTTAAACGAGGCATCCTTATTGTTGTCACCTTTCTTAAAGAA